AAATCTACAGTTTGCTGCTGTTCTGAGGGTCAGGTCAGATGGGGTGATATGTGATCAGCTAGCAACCGTAGATGGTACTTTCCACGGTGAAAACCAAATGTTGCATCTAAGGCCTCCAAGTGTGCGGGTCTTACCACTCTCTACGATATGAATAAGAAATATTTTGTGTTGCCCATACCATCGACTGGTCTACGTCGTACAGATGTCCTAGTCATCATCGTGGAGATATTGCAAACTTATCCAGTCATCTTATTACTCATTGTATCAAGCCCCTGAAGAGATACATCGAGTGTTTTCACTTACCCCATGACAAACGCGATGGGATACTCGAAGGTTCGTCGCGGCACACGGCGAATCACCAAAAAAGTTTTAGTTGCTCCTAAAGACCAGCGTTTTCGATGGGACTAAGCCCGATCTAGTGGTCTGTTAATAAAAAACAAATGTACCCTTTATGGAACAGTCAGATGATTTAGTTAAACTGAGTATGTTTTATTCTTCCCCTCTGTAGTTATGGTACACTAACGGTAACATGGATACTCAAGTTGAGCACATCAAACAAGAAGTAAGTCCGGTGAAATAGACACTTTTGTAACGTGAATTCGTTGAATCTTCCATTTATTATATTATCCAATTGAACATACTGCAGAAAGGCCACCTCATATCTCAGATAGAAAGATGTTCAAGAAGTCAAAGTTGTTTCCGAGACTACTCATAGGTTCTTTTCTGAGTTTCTGTCACTGGATGACCGGAAAAGGTTCACTTCGGTTTATATGTATTTACGGCGGGAAAATCGGTAATCCTATATCTTTTTCAGTTTGAGATTCTTCACAATTGTGCTATCCAAACTGCATCACACAGTCGGTCTTGGGTTTCTTTGAAATTGAGTTCCCCGAACTATTCAAATATTTTGATAGCTCTAGTAACCCTCATGTCTAGACGATGATCTAGAAAGATTGATAGGTTGCGCTGTAGGCTGTTACCTTTCTAATTCGGGGCAGAACCATAAGAACTAAAGCTGCAAGTTTTGTGATATCAGTTTTATTCACCTGCGTATATTCGAATACCAAGAATTCTCTCTTTTCCGCTATCCAATGAACTGACGTTTTCTGGATTCCAAGCGATCTTACCAACAACCTGATACATATCTTTGTTACTTTCGGCAAATACATCGGGTTATTTCAGTGGGACAACTATCGATGACTGGTTTCGCTTTCGCCCCGCTTAGACGACCATGAGCTGAGCCAATTCCCACGAACCGTCTTAGTAACTGTAGTCATGTCGAAAGGGTAGTCTGTGGGTGGTTTTGATAGATGAGGCGAAAGGCCAAGTTTGTCAGTTTGGCTAGTGTCACCATCCCTTTTTAATCGAGCACTTAACACGCTGAGTGCCCCAACCGTATCATCAGGTGGTCTCCTACTGAGCTACCTTGCAAGTAAATGAAGTCAAGACGGCAATCGGATCGGCAGGTAAACGACCTCAAGTCAAGCCTTGGGCGAAGTCAAATGCTGACTAGCACAGAGTGGCTTTTCTCACACGCACTGCGTAAATCGGTAACATGAGCAAACTAGTTTGATGCGCACTTGTTTCTGCGTCTGGCACCAAACAGTCGTGCACTCTAATTAGCCGCAAATCAGACGTCCACCGGACACCTACAGTCGTCATCCTTAAGATATCAAGCTGATTTGTTGCTTGCGGAAAGCGAGTACTGGTAGAGATCAGCTCTTAACGTCAAGTTTTCCCTAAAGTTGTGTGCTCCGCTCATGCTTTTTCGAATTTAAGACCGTCCGCACTTTCCCAGATGTTCTTCACTAGCACTTTTCGAACCCTTCCTTTGTCTTTCATGAAATGACTTCAACCAAAATTGAAGGCACAATTCGAGCTTGGATATTGAATCTAGTGTGCTGCACAAGCGTGGTTCTTCAATAATCATTGATCGGATAGACCCCCTCGGGCAAAAATCCAGGTCAAATTGGCGTTCTGTCTCTGATATAGGAATAAGTCAGGGAACCGAAAGTTCTACAACAAACTGAGTCAATATGGAGGTTTTTCCCATATCACTTCAGTAATATGAAACCAAACCCTATCCAGTCCCTCCTGCTTTCCCAATGGGCGTTCTCTAAGGACGCCAGACTTTTAAAAATACCAACCACCCGTCCATAGCTGTAGCTGCGTGGCAATGATGAACTTCTGATCAATTTATGTACCTATTTTTCATCCTTTTCCAGGACGCCCACACACTCAGTGCTGATTGGTATCGTAACGACGAAGTTCTTTCAATACCTACAGAAGAAGCAAATGTTGGCGTTAACAGTTCGGTACTTCCCTACCAAACGTAAAGAGAAAGGCGTGCTTGGGCATCAGTCTCAAATGAGACAAACGAATCGTATGCACAACGCGCCTAGGTGAAGTGAAACTACAGTTTATTTTGCCGACAGCAACCGGATTCTCGATTCGTTATGGGTTGTGATTTGCTGTTGCTCTCCGTTAAACTAATAACGTTTTTTACAATACATCTTAAACTCGCACTCTACGCTGCTTGAAGTCAGTCGGGTGTATCAGAACGTAACCCAACTAGAACTTGCCTAATTTGCTTTTCTAGATCGACTGTCTCCTGCGTGAAGGTAAGTCGTCTTCTTGGAACGCAGCTGCAGAGGCATTGCGATCGGTGGTAATACCTTCGCAGATATTGGTCCCATGTCGGTTCAAGCGACGTGAACCGCCGATAGCCCATAGTTCCAGACGTTCAAGTTCGGAATCGACAGCATCGAGGCAGGTTAATAGCTACCCGCCTTGACGACAACCCCAATCTTGGCGCGGTTTAGGGATAATAGCAAGTCTGGCTAAGTCTGTGTGTGAGTGGCGGAAGGTGCCATAAACCGTCAGAGTTGTTGGATTAGTTGATCGCGTCGGATAGTGACGACGGATCTTCCCCTCTGTTTCACGGTCTGAAATAATTTCTCAAACACCAGTGGCCGAATTTCTGCACTTTGAGAGTGCTCGAGACACGCGTCGACCAGATTTCTCAGGTATACAGTAAAACCCTCGAATGGCAAACTGATAGATTCGGACTTCTGTCCTCTGTGCCACGGAACACGCTTCAGCAGCTCTGCTCAGCAGACAGTATGCAGGCGAGTTAACACTTTTTCCCTAGCCCGAAGTTTCAGAAGAATGGCTGAGCCGAGGTGTTGGAACCCAGTCATTATGCACAAACACTTCGTCTATCCTAAGTGGTTCATTAGATTTGTGAGCTGATGAAAAAAATACTTTGGTTTTTGAGACGTTGATCTGTAGGCCGAAGCGGGTTGGCAGCAAACTGGTAACCTGCAGAGAGGATAACTTAGTAGCCTGTAAATTGAAGGTCCGTGGTTGACATACTCTGTCCGTTCTCCATCCATTAATCACATCGAAAGACAGGGGAGATTTGGCGTTTTTCGCGTGACAGTGTAACTAATGCGCGTGAGCGCACTTGGATGCAGAACTGAGCTATGTTTTGTCATCGCCAAGTAAGGAGTCCCACCTGGGGAGGACTAATCACTAGAGCGATTCAGTGAGAGCTTCCACACTTTGCCGCCAAGGGTCACCTGACCGCCCATAGCTGACTTCTGTTTGGTATATGGTTCAGTAAAAAGGGCGGACAAGACGACCTGTTGACAATTGAGTCTAATGAGCAACACTATCCAATCCATTTAGGGCCACCGGCTTCTCTGTCGACCATGTTAATTCCTCTACACGTGACGGTCCAAACGGAATGCACAGGTACCTAAATGGAGAGCCAAATAAATTTCACAACTGTTTAGACTTCTATTTTTGGGATTCTGCATTCCATATTAGCTAAAAGGGCAGATTAGGAGTTATCTGCATTGGCTTTTCCCATATTCTGGGACTTTTAGTTCCAATCCGATTCCCTATCACCGCGTAGACGTACAGCGGTGGATAGCTCTTCCCAACAACGACTGACGCCCTACATTTAAGGTTTCGGAGGTACTAGTTAAGTCGATGTGTTAAATTTTTGCCCACAAATCCGTTTTATAAAAAAACGAAGGCCTCGTTTCTTATATGTTCCCGGGGAACTTACCGAAAGTCGAGACAGGAATATAGTCTGAAACAATATAGGCCAAAAGTTGAGTCCGGAAGTACAGATGCACTTATAACAGAAGGAGACCCAATGTTATGAATGAACAGCCGGTGGTCAGTCGAAAGTTTTAAATCAAGTACACGATCATCGTTACATCTCGAGGTTACATTAAACATCCCCTCATCTAGGACCCAAGTAAAATTAGATGCTCCCACTTGTGTTATCTCAGTAAGTGAAAATATGGTCAAAATCTCCGCGATTGATGTTCACTTCCTAATGAAGGTCTTCCACTGAATTAGTGTTACGGTAGGTTGACAAACGGGAACTATATGCTAAAAGTGGTTACCACTGTAAATAAACCAGGTCTCTAGAGTTTGACAAATGGACTATAGAAAATGGCCATTCGAAGACTTCTGAGTAAGTCTCGGAATACGAAAACTCTACAAGCACCGATTTGACTTAGTGCAACAGCTAACGAAAGCAGCCGAAAGCGGATAGATAAGGGTACAATTATTCTGTTCCGAAGCACCCACACCTAGATCGATGAAGCATCAAAAATATACATTAGTATGGCTGATTCTCAGAACTCTGGACGTCCAAGGTCACAGTGAGTAGTACTGACAGTTAATTCCGCGGTGAGCACCGAAATTTCTGTAGAAGTCCAGTTGTTTGAAAGTTCTTAGGCCGATACTATTCAATGAGCTTGATTTAACGGTTGGCTTGAGCTCTGTCTTTTCTATCCTCAACAGTCAAAACAGACTCTTCCTGGTCTCGGTCTTGAAGCCAAAACGCATAGAGCCTCAGTAAACGCATCACAGCTTAGGATAGGGTTGGCTGAATTAACTCCAACTGATAGGTTAATAGAACCGACTAACCAGCAGAAAACTGGTGGACCTGATCTATTTTCCGGACGAATATCGCAGCCTAAAAGGAAAGGGACTAAAATCAGTCAGAAATGGATACCTCAAAACGTTTCTATCTGTCCCGGAAAGAGTTAAGAAGCAACCCTAACGCAAGTTGCTGCGCAACTCCCCCCTATCACGGTTAAAACGATCCGACTACACGACTGCTCATACAAAAGCTAAACTCCTGAAAAACAGGTTTTAGACTGATGCACGAGCGTTCACTGCGAGCTAGTTAAATGTATGCTCGCTTTGAAGATGACACGTCCAGGTACTCGTAGTGTGAAATTCTCATTTTCAAGACTAAATCCCCGCTTTCCAACAAGTATGTTTCTCAAGTAACCCTGAGGGAGGCGGGTGATCTAACTAACAACACTGAATAGCCACTTACAGTTGAATAAGTATAATAGAATAGAATGTAGGTAACTTTAATTCGCAACTAACTGACTGGGCTGCTGCAGAAAGTGAACGGGTAAAACAGTAAACGGTTTTGTGTTGACACTAAAGAGCTGAGCGGTAATTATTCTAATCCTGGATTCATCTCATATGCGGCAGGGAAACCCCGTCCTATAATTAGGTAGGCCTTTGTAGTTGTCAACAACTACCGACCCATCGCTACGCTCCATAACAGCACACCGATGATGTCACCCCGATTGGTGATGAAACGTTTGCAATCAGCTCAGCGAACAAACCAACAGCCAACTACGCTACCTGAGATACCCAGATCCTTCTCAACAGCACACAGGAATAACGTATCAGTGAGATTTTCAACTTACCAGTTATATTCTCATCGCCCATCCCACTGCGTTTGAAGTCGCAGTTCTGACTACTCGGTGGAAGTAAAGTAGTTAAACCGCACCAAAATAATAGATATGGCCCGGGGTTTATCCGTCCCCACCTCCCCCAAAAAAAAGTGCGACAAGCCTGGAAGATGCATAGATCATTAAAACGGTCCGTACAGTCAACTAATTGAATGCAGCAATGCAGTGACAAATTAACAGCTACGACGTCTGGAAACCCGTCGTGAGGGGTCTGAGCACATGGTCTTGCTTTGACAAACGCGCATTAATTTTATGTTCATTAAACCATGGCACCAAGTTGGGTAGATAAGTGGGGATGAATACACAAAAGGTCGACTAAATGGAGTTGGAAATTCCAGTATTACCTACAAACTACGACCAAGTTAGGAATATAAACATAAGGGGCATTGAAAACTCCAGTGCAAACAATTGGGTTTATGCGTAGCTCGACCAAAGAACCTAAACATGAAGATAAGACAGCCAGCACACGTTGCAGGGGGTCCAAAGTGCAAAAAACATATGCTCCGAGTAGAATATACAGGTAAAAATCATTTGATTGTGATTTTGGCCGCCATTTTGTCCGAAATGGTGTACTGATCCCAGTTTTTTGCCGGGTCGTACGGCTCCCACCGACTGGCTGGAAATATGTGCTTGTTCCTTTCATACCAGCTTCGCAAACAAACTTTGCCTGCGTGAGATTCCTCCTTTTCTACACTCGCATCCATACGAAGCCGAACATCATCACGTACATCGAAGCAAAATAGTGGACCAGATTTGCCTCTGGCCTTGGTCACGATGAAATCGTAAAAAGTGTAGTGATGTGGAATGATGAGGTCCTCCTTGATGTACATCAGTTGATCGGCGGTGGCTGACTTTAGCTCAGTGAACTCTTTACGAAGTTGTTCCAGACAACGATGGAGAAAGAGGTGGATTGTGTGACCTTTCTTCATGCGGACTTGTTTCCGGTGACCGGATCCATCCCAGTAACTGTAGGTGATGCTTATCTCCTCTTCTTTGATTGCTGCCTGCTTTTCTACCCATTGTTGTCGAAGTTCATCACTAGCGGGAGAGGGAAACAGACAGAGATGAAGAGTGGAACGGCACGAACCGGGATGGTAAGGGGACATGGAGAAACAAATAAATAGGTGAATATGAAGAGGGATGAATGTCCAGTGCTAAGTATGGGTCATATCTGTAGGCCCGTTAGAAACCCAACCTGCGCATCCCGATTGCTTCTGTCTAGGCTTGGGCAACCTTGCAGTCTCCCATCCCTCGTGCTTCCTTCGGGTGGCATGGTAGTTAGCCACAGAAAGGGTGCTACAGCTGGATGGGCAAGAGAGATCGCATCCAAATACGGAAAAATAACTGGCTTTGCAGTTGACAACTTTGGTATCACAAAAACCGCGGTACCTAGTTTATTCACAAACAACGAGTGTGTACTTCAGCAACGAAATTCAGAATTTTATAGCACCAGGAAGAACTTAAACACCAAAAGAAAACAAACGGTACATGAAGGCAGTCGGGAAACGAACAGGTAGTACATTGCTACATTCTTATAAATGGGTTTGTCAAATGAAATATTACAAATATTCACATTTCTAGAGACAAACACACAAAGAAACCGTACCGAAGTCGCTTCTCCTCAGCATCCCGATCCACATCCGGCAGAAAACTCGTATCCACCGTAGGGTTCATCCCCAGTCGACGCCGCTTGGTCGCAATCTCTTCTGCTGTCTGATTGGCATCCGGGTCAGCTTCCTCAGATTCTACTACAGAGTTGCTTGACTCAGATTTAGTTGGATCGACCTGTAATACCTCTAAACAATGGAAACAAGTAAAAGCCTACTTACTTTTACCGGTTTACAGTCTGCCTCATCGTCAGCTTCAACGTCTTCATCATCTGCAAAAGACAACAAACTCTATCTGGTCAAGTGGGCTCAGCTGACGGATGAGCTCACCGGTTGTAGCTTCGTTTTTTTATCAGCACCCGACTGACCACCTTTGTTTGCTCCTTTCGAACCACCTAAAGCGAGCTCCTTTTCCCGTTGAGTCATGAATGCCTGCTGCCTGGCCTTCATCTCGTCCAGGGTAACCAGCCCAATCTAATATAATGAAGGGATTAACGTTAGAAGCGTCCTTACAGTATCGGTCCTCAATTGTTGCTCTATCGCATCATAATGCACAGCAAATTTCGTAGATATCTCCCCAACACGCATTTCTGCCTCCAATCGTTTCTTCTGCAGTTCTAATTCCTGTCTTTCCTTTTCACGTTGCTTCATTAACAACATTGCTCGTTGCGCCTCCTTCGCAGCGCCTTTAAACGTTGCCATTGTGTTTTACTTAGAGCAACGATCACGATGTTAAGGGAGAATACGCTATGGCTGTAAGACCAAAAAACGATAAGAAATTAAAGGGTATCACAAAAGGAAACGGAAAACTGCGTAACATTGCGGTCCTCTGTAAGCCAAAAGGTCAAAACTGAAAAGATTATTTAAGAATCGGAGGTTGACAAAAGCAACCATGGCCTTTACGACTCGAGAAATAATCTCATCTCCAGCCAGTCCACCGGAACCAATAGTTACCCAGGTAGGCAAATTTATCTGCCACATCGTGTGGCTTGCATGCAAGTATGAAGTGTGCGTTTGATCCCACCTAGTCTTGTAGCAGCACTTTACACTACAGGTATGAAGCACATGCCAAACCGTGCGGTAGAGTGAGTTAGGTTATTTAAAATCGTCCGCATCTGGGAATTGACAAGAGTAATATCGCTCAATGTCTGTGAGCAAACATGTTGGGAGCATTTCGACTCCCGAGCTGTTTGAGGTACGGACACCTTTGATCGCCAGACACTGCCAAGTCTCTGACGAGCAAACATGTTGGGAGCATTTCGACTCCCGAGCTGTCTGAGGTACGGACACCTTTGATCGCCAGACACTGCCAAAGTCTCTGACGATCAACAGAATCAAAAGCAGCTTTCAAGTCAAGAAAACGATCAAAGTGGGACGTCTGAAGGAGTGGCGCTGTATAAGAATGTGTCTCAAAGTAAAGATATGTCCGATGCATCCTCAACAACGATGAAACCCAGCTTGATTCTCACAAATTTGTCTCTCACGATAATCCATCAACCTGAAAACAATAATGCCAGAGAGCATCTTAAACGCGACGGATACCAGGCTTTCCGTCACGAAGAGACTGGACCTTACCGTGGAGCGGCGGTTTGTGTGCCCCGATGACCCATTGAGCTATACTGAAGGGTGTCCGCGCAACACTCACAGAGTTTCTCATACCAGGTTGGTCAATGGGTAGAGGTATGATAAACACAGTCTCCCGACTCTCCAGGTTGGAGGTTGGAAAATGTGTGGCGACGTGCACCGTAAAATTGGTAATGTACGTGTATTTCCAGTCCAATACGGCTGTCCTGAGGTTAGGCTTTTGAGCCAAATGCTTTGGTTGAGGACTATAATCGTCCTCCAGTCTAGGTGTGGGTGCCCTGGCAGTATTCTAACTCTCGTACAACCATGACATTTACAGCTAACAATACTTTCACGCCACATCGGCCGCCGCCGGGTCGGCTTACTTACAGTAGGACGGGTAAGCGAAAATATGCTAGTGCTGACGCCTACATTCTTACACTTTCCCATTTCCCATCTTCCACCCTGTCCCACCCAAATTCGAGTACTTTCTCCGCAAGTCCCAGCTCTAGGACTGGCCGTTTTGATCGCCCTGCATCACACTCAGCTTGTACGCTGCTGCTGTTTAGACTAATGCAAAACGCGCATACCTCGCTTAGCTAGTGAGAAGCTAGTGGATCCAGAAGTCACACGAAACTATCAGAACCAGCTCCTCGAATGCCTGCCGGACGGTACGGTGTCGGATATAAGCGGCCACTGGGAAAAGATGTCCAGAGCGCTACTCAAAGCTGCAACGTCTTTTTGCGGTAGAACCCAGCAAACCTCATCCAAACATTTGATCTCTGGTAGGACCGGGTCTTTGCTGGAGACCCAGCAACAGATTTTATCTGGCCGCCACCACAACTCCACCCGAAGTAACTTTGATGCCAGGTGTATTTGAGTGTCCGTGCACACCGAGAGGCTTAGTGGACCCGAAAGGCCAAAGAAATGGAAGATGCAAAGAATACCAGAAACGTCTGCAAGCTGTTCTACTAGATTGGTTCGACTGGTCCTCGGAAAACTATTGTCAGCGAACTAATCAGAGACCCAAATGTCTAGCTGACCTGAAGCAAAGCAGAACGTTTTGACCATTGGGCACAGCAATTCAGCTGGTCAGCTGCTACCTCCAATCCAGAATCCTGGCCTTCAACAGAGAGGTGGACAGAAAATACGGAACCGCGTTCAGTCTCAGAAGTGCCAGAGTGTATTCCTCTACTCAAGCGTCAACGTGCTGCTGGTCCTGACGACCTTCCACCTGCCCTTTTCAAGAATGGCGGTGGGCTCCTCAGCCAGTACCCGCCTAACCCATCTGGGTCTACCTGGAAGAAAGAGACCGTCCCAGACAACTGGGGTAAGTCGATAGTAGTGCCCGTTTTCAAAAAGGGTAGTCGCAGTGAATGTAGTAACCACAGACGTGTTAGTTTGACTCTTGTTGTGACAATAATTCTGCGTCACTGATTCTCCGTCGTCTTACGGTGGGACGCGAAACCTTGACTCGTGAGAATCAAGCGGGATTTCGACTAGGTAGAAGCTGCGTTGACTACATATTCACACTCCGCCGGGTTTTAGAGCAACGCCACAAGTACAGGCGACCAACAGCCTTCGTATTCCTTGACTTCAAGGGTGCATGCGATTCTGTCGATCGGTCAGTGCTTTTAACTACACTTGCTCAACAGGGCATGCCCCAAAAGTTTGCAAGCATAATCCGATCCTTATATTCGCATACTTCTGGGCGAATAAGATTGCATGGCGAGTTCTCCAAAAGGTTCCCTACAAGAGGTGGTGTTCGACAAGGATGTCCACTCTCTCCATTCTCGTTCGACTTCGCAATTGATGCGATAATAGGACAAAAGCTGGACGTTCCTCAAACCCTGGTATTCAAATTGTTGCTGTACAAGTACGCGGTTCTTAAAGCTGACAGTGATGATGGTGAGAGCTTTGTCGGTCTGGAATACGCAGACGACATTGAAGACCAAAGCGAAGCATAAGCCTTGTTGAATAAACTGACCATCCTCATACCATCCTTTGGCATGCACCTTCAAAGTGAAAAGTCATGCTTCAGAACGTGCAGTCTTCGAACATATCCCTTACAATTCAAGGAGATTCACTAGAGATTGTGGAAAACTTAATATACCTCCGTAGCCATACAAGAAAACAGCCTATACTGTAGCTTGATACAAACGCCTCTTAAGATTTAGGGAAAAACCACACCGACGCTATAGATGTCTCAAATTAGCGAACCCGACCCGGGCTTGCAGATTTGCGCATTCACCTTACCTGTCACACTACAATCAGAACTAATACTACTAATAAGTAAAACGCCCCACAACTTCCAGTACCTCTCCCTGGATTGTAAGTGGCGTGTTCGGTGACTGCACGTCCACAAGCATGACCTTACACTTTGTAGGTGCAAAGTGCATACAAAAGGACGGGATGACTTTGGTCAGTTCATCCAAGAATACTTGCGCCTTCTCCTCCTCCTCGAAGATGAGAAGGTCGTCTGCATATTCCAGATCGACAAGGTTTTATTCACAGGCTAATTGAGCACCAGGGTTTTGGAGACCCTCCAGCATTCGTCTCATTATTTCATCGATCACGAAGTTAAAAAGGAATGGAGAGAATGGGCATCCCTGATGGACACCGCTTTACGTACGGAAGCTTTTGAAGAGCTCTCCGTACACTCTCACACGTCCAGAAGTCTGAGAACACAAGGAGCTTATTATGTTCACAAACTTCCGGGTCATTCCTCGGTGGGCAAGCGTCTCAAGAAGAACAGACCGGTCAACCGAGTCGAATGCGCCTCGGAAATCCAGGAATACTAGAATCGTGAGTCGCTTATGCGTATGGCGTTGTTCTGGCACCTGACGAAGCGTGAAGATTTGGTCAGCGCAACCCCCACCAGGCCGGAATCCCGCTTGCTGATCTCGAGTCAGTGTCTCACGAGCCACCGTAAGGCGACGAAGCACAAATGATGCCAACAATCTCGTTACGACCGGGGTCAAGCTGATCACCCTATGGTTACTACACTCACTACGCGCCCCTTTTTTGAAAACGGGCACTATCACCGATTCTCCCCAGTTGTCTGGGACAGACTCCTTTTCCCAAATGCAACCAAACAGATCGGACAAGCGCTGACTGAGTACTTTACCCCCGTCTCTGAACACTGCGGGTGAGAGGTCATCCGGACCAGGAGCTCGGTGGCGCTTGAGAGAACATATGCAATCGTAAACCTCCGAGGCCGTCCAGAGTTCTACTTCACCGGGCTCTAGATGAGTGCCAGCTGGTGGCCACGACAGTTGTTGTTCGAAGTATTCAGCCCACCGATCGAGACGTTTTTCTTTATTCGAGATGGCCGTTCCATTCTGATGCTTGATGATTTCACTCACAGGTGGTTTCCGGGGACCAGTTGCGCTGATCAACTGAAATAATCTTCGGGCATTACCGGCTTTCCGGGCCTCTTCCATTGGGTTGATCGCACTGCATAATACGATAGGTGAGGGGAGTGTGGAAGGTCGGTGTGCGAAGAGTTGCAAGGGCAAATGATACTCCCCGGTTGCCCAGGCCGACGAGGTTGGTTGAGGTACCCCATTTTGAGTTTTTGACTCAAAAGTTTGACCCACGAGGCAGTGAGAGGATGTAGGGTTTTGTTCGGTGACCCCGCCCCAAGCCTCTGGCTCAAGAGTCTGAAACGCGAGACAGCGATTGCTATGATTTTCTTGGGGAACCCTTAAAGGAGCCGATGACTCAAAAGTCTGATCAACTTGGCTGTAGGAGGTGGCCTGGCCTGAGGGCATGGGGGGTAGAGCATTACTGTATCACTCCTAGTGCAGCTGCGCACAGTAGGTGCTTTTTGAGCAGCACCGGATTCTTTGGTTTTAAAAGTATTTCGACCGTATTGAATAAAGCGCCGGCGGTCACGGTCGACCGTTGGGCAATCGGAGTATGGGGTTTTTGGGTTGACATTTTCTAACCCGTCCGTCCTCAGAGGAAGGCAGCATCGCTGCTTTCATAAATATGGACATGCTGGTCGCCCGGGGGAAACACTTTACTGCCTTCACACCCTTACCGCAGATGACGGTACAACATTACCTCCAGACCGCTTTGTAATACGATTACTCGCAGTACGGGGACTAGCTGTTCTTCGTCGGGCTGCTCCCTGT